GAGAACAGGTTAATCTGTGGCTATTATGTTGAACTGAATGGTGTTGTAAAATAATAATAATAATAATAATAATAATAATAATAATAATAATAAAAGAAAATAGTCTGAGCAAACCACTGGAGAGTAAACCTGTATGCCATGCTCCACTATGGCCTCTGCTTCAGTTCCTGCCTTAAGTGCCTACGTCTAAATCTCTTCATGATGGACTATAAAATATAAGAAGAAATAAAACCTTTTTTCCACATGTTGCTTTAGATCATGGGGTTGTATCACAAAAATAGAAACCAAAGCAGTACAGAAACAATGTCTGACCACTTCATATACTGTCTGTTCTCAAGCCCTCCTGCTTCTGCTAAATTCTAGTGAGTCATGGAGGGGACCAGTTGCATCATGGGCAGCTTAAGACTGCTGCTCTATGAGGTGTGAAAGTCTTTTGGACTGTAGAATTTCCTTACTCTACTTCTAGGCTAGAACTAGAACTCTTCTCAGAGCAGATCCCTGGGTGACACTCTGCATTAAGAAAGGTAGTGTCAGGGGTTCTTACCTGAGACCAAGAGGTGAAGGGGGTCACTTGATTTTGATGACAACTGGGGATGGTTCTTATAATAGCCATAGCATCTGAATGTACCATTGTGGATGGTGGTCACAGGGTCCAGAACAAAATGAGCTTGAAACTCCCTATTGGCACTTTGCTGTGAGTCCAGGATCCATTGGAGTTGTTGCTTTCCTTCCTGGGTCAGAATAAATCTGCTGAATCCCAGCGATGAGCTACACTGCATGGTTATGGTCTCTCCTGAGGTCACAGCAGGGCCGGGCCAAACAGACAGGCTTGGTTTAGCATAGACTCCTAGGATACAAGGGGAAGTGAAACAAATTTAAGCTACCCACATTGTACTGCGGGCTTGGGCTCTGAGAAAAGTACCCTGGAGAGTTGAACTCCTTCTGAGTCCATCATTTTGTTATCTGATATCATGTCTCAAGTTTCATGTCTTTTATAAAATGTTTTCAACTGAAATATAAGTGTGTCCATTTATTTCTCTCTTTCCTGTCTCCAGGCCCTTCCATTTACCTTTCCAACAAGCTTTTATATATCCTCATACCACTCTTAAGTTGATAGCTTCTTTTTTTCTGATAATTATTGGTACATGTATGTCTACAGATATGCACATTTACATATATATGTGTCAGATATATACATACACATATACACCTATATACATATTTGTTTACATATGTACACCTATATAGGTATATAAATATCTTACACACACACACATATACATATATGACACAAGCATGTACAGCAATTCTTTACTGTAGTTCCCCATGAAACTTTTTCTCTATTATCAGTTGGATGGTTCCCAGACATGGTTTTAGTATTTCATTAGTCACAAGACGTGAGATCTATATAAGGGTTTCTTACCTGTGACAGGAAGGTACCATGGGTCACTTGGGGATGACCACACATGGGAAGAGTTACTGAAAGAGCCATAGCATCTATAGTTGCCTTTCCGGATTACAGGACCAAGAAGGAAGTTGGCTTGGAATGTCCTATTGTGACTCTGCACTGCAGGCAGCCCCTGCCCCAGAGGCACCCCTTCTCTGGACAGATGGAACATGTCAAACTGATGGTCAGAGATGCAGGACAAGGTCATGTTCTCCCCTGATATCACCTCAGGGCCCATCAGGGCTGACAGAGAAGGTTTCTTATATAAACCTGGAAGAAAAGAGCCAGAGACAGTTATAGAGAAAGTTTCTTACTAGTGTTTATTCACTGCTCAGTGTTCCCTCTTTATGATTCCATTTCTGTGATCTTCCTGCCTCTCACCATCTCTCTCTCTTCTCTTTTTCCTTTTCTTTCCTCTATTCTATGTTATCATATTTAGTCTATGACTTCACTTCTTACTCAAATATGTTATGACAGTTTTTGCTTTTTTATATTTTCTGCCTCTATTTTCATTGGTTCATTCCATCTGTGTTTTAAAATATGTTTTTATAACATAATAAATTTTATCTAGCAATTGATATCATTATGAAATATTCATGTGCATTCAATATATATAATATATATTTTATACTTTTTAAGAAATATTTTTTAGTTTTTGAAATTGAAATACAATTACATCATTTCATGTGTTTAAATTGTTTTTAAAAATTGTTGTTCCATATATTTATATATGTAGAATATTAATCATAATAATGCTATTATTCTCAATTGCCCCTCAACTTCCACTAATTAATCTCACTTCGAAGTACAGAATAACCCATAAACATTTGTATTTCTCTTGAACAGTGGCCATGGTGATCTTTCCTCTCTTGTTCCTCTCAATGTGTACTGCTCAAGTGTGATCTATTGTTTGCCTCCCAAGCATTTGGTTTAGAATTTGTTTTGGGGTTCTATGTCTATAAGAATTCTACCATGAAAGCCAGATATATTATGTATCTGACAAGCTCTGTCTTGATATATTTAATATCTGCTATAATTTTTCCATCTCTATTTCAAAGTTTCCATTCAGGATTGATTCTGTCTTTTTGTAGTCTTTTTCTTAGCACACATTCCATGTTTACTAACTCCCAGCAATTCCTGGGTGCCACCTGTGTGAAGGCATAAGGATTCATTAAGAACCAGCCCAACTAAGTATTTGGACTCAGGTCATAACACATTATATGTCTGGTTTTCTTGGTAGACTTCTTGTAAAGGTAGAAATCAAAAATTTTCTAAATGTTAGTAGAAAGACTTCATTCTCTCTGGTTCATATCATGCTCACCCAATCGCCATTTTCTGTTTATCTCTACTTATGACTCCTTTGCATCACCCTCCATCTGTGCTTTATGTTATAACCAATGGTCTGTTCTTGTGTATTTCTTTTCATTCTCTATGTCAGTAAAACACTCACCAACGTTGGCTTCATGTAAATTTCCCACACTCATTTTCCTTGTGACCTCCCACAGTTTTTAGTATATACAATATTTTTCTGTATCACAAAGAGAATGATGAGCAGGTAACATGCTCTTACCTGTGATCTTTATGTCAATGGGGTCACTGGATTCAGACCATGCATATGGTGAGGGATTGTAAGAACCATAGCATGTGTAAGTCCCAGCATGTTCAGGTGTCACAGGACCTATTTTGAAGTTAGCCTGGGACCTCCCAAGACGATTTTCAGCAGAAATCTGGAGAGAGTCCTTGATTATTCCTTTTTTGTGTGAAGTAAAAGTGAAAGTTTCAAACATAATCTCTGATCGACACTCCAGTATCACCTTCTCTCCTAAATTCACCAGGGGAGTTTGTAAGGCCAAAAGGAAAGGCTTCCTGTAGATTCCTAAGAATAAAGAAATTGTATGAACCTGATCAAAATGTCTGTGTCCTTGAAGACTTATGATTCTCCCTCATTTGGTCTGTTCTTCCTATGAGTGCTCCAGTGCAGCTGTTCTTGTCTGTTTCAACTCTGGATACAGAATCCTCCAACTTTGTGTCCATTTCCCACTTCTTCGACCCTGGAATTAGCACAATATTTTCCCACTGGCTTGTTGTGAGAATGTGTCATTTGAACCCTTCTTCCATTGACACTATTGTCTTTTTCTAAGATTGGAGAGTGTAGGAAACATGGCAATCTTCAAATCAGGCGGCTTTATGTGTCTTTTTGATGCTACTTTGGATAAGGTAAAATCCTTAGTAGGATAAAGGAATTAGTGTTGACCACAGTAACCAGGGAAACACTTCAGCCCTCTCTGTGGTTCAAACCTTTGTAAGGCATTCCTGATCCAGAATCATGAACAGTGTTTCCTTTCAACATGTTGAAGAATTAGCATCCTGACTTACTGCTCTCAGAATATCCCTTCCATGCTTCTTAATTTGCCCTTGACATGGGTTCCCATATTATTTTCCAAATGCTAACATAACAAATACCACAAATTTGATTCTAAAAAAGAATGAAAGTATTGTGGAGAGAAGAATTCTGAAAAACCCAAATGGCATAAATCAAGTATCTTTAGGCATAGTAACTACTGATCCCTAGGAAAGTGTCCATTTTTTTTGCCTTCCAGCTTCTAGAGCCTCATGCATTCCTTGGCACTTGGACCCTTCCTCCATGTTCAGAGTTTGTGACAGGGGGTCTCCCTCATGATGATTTATTTTGCCTACAACTGAATTTTTCCTTATTTTGTTATATCAATTCTTGTAGTGCTATAGACCTGGGAGAATTCATGATATTCTCCCATCCTGAAGTCAACTTATTAAGATTTGAGTTCCATCTTAAACCCCAAATTTTGCTTCACTTGTTTAACACACAGGAAGCCTTAGGGACTAGAAAAATGCATGACCTTGTGTATCATATTATGCCCAGAACATTATATATTTCTCTGTGTTGAATATTCCTTATAAATCCAAGCCTCTGACTAATACTTTTTCAGACAATTACAGGGTTGAGATATTTTGGGGAATGAAAAGATACTACAAATGTCATATCTGACCTGAAATTATGATCTTCAGAGGGTCACTGTGTGCTGAAGTTACATCAGGGGATTGATAATTAAAACCATAGCATCTGTATGTTCCTGCATATTCTGGTGTCACAGGACCCAAGACAAATTTCCCTGTGGATGAGCTTCCATGCATCTGAGGAATAGGATTACCATGTTCTTTGTACAACTTGAATATGTCATAGTCACTATGATAGTTACACTGAAATTCCACATGATGTCCCTGAGGAACAACATGGCTTGGCCAAGCAGAGAGTATAGGCTTGTCTTGATCACCTGCAAAGAGATGCACAGCATAAAAAATTTAATGATTTTCCTTTATCCCTGAGAGCTGAGCTTCCAATTTTTACTTCTTTTGGGATCTACTGTATAACAATTTTTTCTGAATTGAAACATCCCTGTTTTAATATGAGAGGTTGAGAGGCTTGGGATAATCAGAAAGCAAAAAATCTTTCTATGCCCTGGGAGGGTGAAGCATCCAGGATTCACCAGTGACCCTTTCCAACTCTATAGAAAAAGTAAGCTACTTGGCCAGCTGAGCTCTATAACTGAGATTTCTAAGACCTGTTCAATTGCCTGCAAGTTGTGCACAGAGCTCCGGAGTTTTGGCTTTCATGATAAGCACCTATATAGAGTTGTGCTTTTAGTACAGGTTTGAGTCACCCCTTGCTTCTGTAAGATACCCCTAAACTACACTGTTATTAATAACATCAGTAAACCCTTGGAGTCACCAAGTTGTGCTTTGGTGCAATCTTTGTTTTGTCTGTCAGGGGTTTCATTTATGAGCTG